AAAAGGTTGAAGTTGAGCATTAGCTCGAAAACAGTGGAATGATTGTGCAGTTTACAGGTGAATCCAAAATAAAACTGTTCGACGATAATCAGTGACAACTTGTTTGGTGGTGGATAAAAGAATGGTTTCATATTTGTATAATGTATATAATAAATCATTCTAGAGAGAAGTTGAGAAAAGTTTGGAACTGCATCTCAGTCAGTGGTGTTTGTGGTCTGCACAAAGTTGTTGGCACCCTGACTGCTGATGTATACAGGCATTGATCTGCTGTGCTACTCCCTCAGGGATTTGACTTATCAGGCAGAGATACGCCACTCAGAAAGAGAGCAGTCCCAAGCATATATCAAATGTGGCAAAACAACATCTTGATAGTAAAGAGGTTCGTGGAATGTTCACAGTCTTGTCTTGACCTACACAAGGTCCTGATATGAACATCCTTGAGAAAGTTAAAATGTGGCCACATATGTAGTCTGAATTGTGAGAACTAATCCAGGATTTTTAGAACAATGTTCCATAATTTTACATCGATAAACTGTAAGGCAGACATAATGTTTCTAGTTCATTGCACAACCTATGTGCTTTTCTTGTGTATTTTCTGTGACAACGTTTTGTACCACATTTACTGTATTTGTTCATAATGATTTCACAGTTATTTATATTATTGTGTGTTAACCATGCTAAACTATTAGTTTACTTAAACAATTTATAGACAAAGATAAGAAACCCTATCACCAAAGCACTTTAGAAAGGTAGACCTTTCTTTATAAGAGACAAACAAGTTTATATATATATATGTTGACTGTGCATACCTTTTGGAATATCTTGGCAGTTTGTACATGTGTTGACCATGCTAATTTTTCAGTATATCTGTTTACTTAGTATGTATATGTGAACTTTACTAACTGGATGTAGTAGATATGGTATGGTTGACATCTTTTATAAATAATATGCTTGTGTTTGTCTGTTTTGAACTCTTTTTTTTTTTTCATATCATTAGAAAGGCCTTTGTATGAGGAGTCGGGATTGCATATTGGCTTTTCAATTCAGAATCACCTTGCCTGTTTTTTGCTTAGTCAAAGTTTTCAATGCAATGAGTATGGTACACGATGGCATGATGTTGTTGTCATCATGTGATGACTGGCATTGACTTCAACTTTAGTTTTTTTTATTTGTAAAGTGTTTCACAGAAACAACACTTAACTCTCGTGTAATTTCGTAAAAAAATGAACATTACACTAAATACAATTTCTATGGTCATTTTCAACTTATTAGGTTCAAAACCATATGCTTATCACTTTGTGAACACACACATTCAGAGGCTTCTGCATATTCAGCTAAGTTTGCCTTCATTACATTACAAGTTTACATTTACTTTACTTTGCAATAACTTAAGTTCAGTTCATTTCATAGACTGTTATAAACACCTTTTAGCTGCTTTTTTCTTTAGTACGGGTTTTATTCTTTGTTTTTATGAGTTTCTTTGTTTAAACTCTTACAACCTGTCGTACACTGAACACTAATAACTGTTTAATACTCTGTACACTATTATAAGTACCATTAATTTTGTACGTAGTTTATCAAATAAAGTTACATCTCCGTGAGTTTGTTTGTCTGACCACATAAAATTTTTTCAAATAGACCACAATTTATCGATCTAACACACAATGCCTACAAGAAAGTGAAGTTTAAGTGGCATGTGTGAGAATGATAGAATGAGGAAAATTCAAGTGAAGGGCATGAAAATTACCACAAATGTTTTGCAGGTTGCGGTTGGTGATATGTGTAATAGTAATTGATATAATACATGGACATACACTAGAATGTTATATATATGTTCTAGAAATTGTTATAATACATGGACATACACTAGAATGTTATGTATATATGTTCTAGAAATTGTTATAATACATGGACATACACTAGAATGTTATGTATATATGTTCTAGAAATTGTTATAATACATGGACATAGTATTATATCAATTACTACAACACATATAACATTCTAATTTATGTCCATGTATTATGTCAATTACTAAACCACATGTAACATTTTAATGTATGTCCATGTATTATACCAATTACTAGAACACATAACATTCTAATGTACGTTCATGTATTATATCAACAATTACTACAACACATATAACATTCTAATTTCTGACATACATGGATTCTTACAATTTCAGTATATCTCAATAATTAAGATATATGTTGACCATGCTAATATTACAGTATATCATCATAGTTTATTCAGGGCTAGAAATGAATTTTTACGTAGCAGACTACTTGACTAGGTAACAAAGATTTTGATTTAAAAATGTTTAAGTAGCAAAATGCCTACCATGATGATAAAATCCATCCCCATTAAAATTGGCCCACCCAAAATGGTTGTATGGCCCAGCTGATACTTTGTTTAGCCATCTGGCCCTTTCTTCTGAAAACCACTATCTGTTGACTGATGGTCAATATTCCATATGGTCATGTCCACAGATTTTAACATTTTATTGATAGTATTAGTTCCAGAGTAGTAGCATCTGTCTGACTTCACTGTCTTACATCAAGGGGTAAGCTCCAATATGACAGTGATTTCTCCCTGAACCCTGTTCTCAAGGCATAGGTGTTTCCATGGAACAGTTGGGATAGACAGATCTTGAGTACTGGTTTTAATCGAGGTATAGCTCGAGCTTATTCCATTGACATTGCAGATCCTGCCAATCCAGTTCTAGTGGCAACATTGGAACATTTGCCACACATCGGGTGCTACTACTACCTAGGAACCAGTATCTAGGAGCAGAGAGTTTAGTCTTGTGAGCAGATCTCCTTTTAAGACATTTGCAAACCTATTGTTAATATCTTGAAGTAACAAGTCCAGAATGTATTTTTTACATTTTGTTCATATTATTGAGTTGGTATTTTTTGGGAAATTAGTAAGTAAAGTATCTGTAAGGAGGAAAGAGCTTATTTATTTATTGAAAGACTAGAAACAGACTGTAAGATTTACTAAACATGTTCAATTCAAGTAAGAAACAAATGCATGAATAGTGAAATTTTGTTGAACTTGAAACAGTAAAGAGAAGTAATACATGATATGGCAGGATGAGATATTAATTGTTTTAATTACATACAGAAATCCAGTTCATGTAGAGTAAATTGAAAAAAACAACTCGCATTCTTGAAAATATTTATTTTGATCCAATTTACTTTACTAATTTTGCTTCAGGATAAATGTCTCACTATTATCTTACTATAATGACTGCAGTGTGTATATATGTATCTATGTATGTGACCGAAATAATAAATATGATGTGGTGCCATCTATTGAATGACATTACAAACACAAATCCATAACAAAATTTCCTATTTTGGGTATTTAAGTTTCAGATAATTAGAAAAATAACTGTGGTATGTTCAACAACCTTTTTTTTTATCACAGAACACAATTTTAAATAAAAGTACCCTTCTCACA